AAATTAACAAGTCGCCTTCCGTTAAAACCCTCCCAATGGAGTGAGATGTCCATGTAGAAGGGAGCATGTGAGACTAACCTACCTTCTGCGTTATAGGCACTATTGGCTACGTCCTTACCCAAAATGCTCTATAGTATTACCAAACTGCAATCGGATCTTCGCGAAACTTCTATTCATAAACCTTAGCACACCAACAGCCACCAGGGTCATTATGGTCCTCCACCTACTCCAGCATTGCCATCAAAGACGATAACTCCGAATGTATCTCTACCGCTTCCACCTCCTCTACAGTTCTCCTCGAATACATCAATGTGCTTTCCTCTGTCCTTACTACAGGTATACCATTATAAATCTCGCTCGCCCAGCAGTATCATCACAGCAGCCTTCGAGAGCCCTCTCCCGACCCACTCTGGATGGGACTGTCTCAACCACTCTGCCAGCTCTGTCAAGAATAGAGGACATTATCACTCGATTGGCTAAGAGGACATCTGCAGGGCAAATAACGTGCTCTATGACGCTCAATCTGATAATCACCTATGGTAAAAGTCACCATTCGGAGGCCGATTATTCTCCGTGGTAAAACGCCATTGGTTAGCACTATGCATGGGAGGGAAGTAGACTTATCCACAATAAAGCAACAATGGAAGAAAGCGGTTCCTTGACGACAAGAAACTGCACATGAAAAATGCTCCTCCCCTGGTTCGAACCGACGCCCTTCACTCACAAACCGGTCTAGTAAACCGCCAATGTCATCGATATTGAGATGAAGCTGAAGTTTATAGATGGTGGAAGATACGTGAGGAAGATGAAGCCGACGACTCGACGGGTGCATCTCCCCTCTACCGTATCAAAGCCGATCCTGAAGAGCCTCTCCCAATTGATCGGATCCATCGACGGGCCCTCGGACATGTAAGCAGTGACGTTGTAGAGCACACCTACCAGGGACGGACGTATTCAGCCATGGAGGTGCAATGTGATACCTTTGGGGACAGTTGACACAATGAGACAATAGTTTGTAAAGAAACTGCATCATCCGAGAATCGAACTCGGGTCACAACGATGGCAACGTTGTATTCTACCACTACCAGACCAATGATGCAACTGATAGTTTAAGCATCAGCGCGAGGGGAAATACACCGAGTGGCTCTTCCCCTATTTCTTATGTGAGTAATTAACACAACCTCCCCTTGGATATCATTCAGAGAAATGTCGAACAATCTTATCACAACGACGTTAACGGTAGAGTTAGGAACGGAGGAATTAGTCATCGAGGAGCTGAAAAGCAACAAATCGGCGGGAAGAGCTTCGCTCCGCCGATTGAATATCAGCAGCACACTGATGCCGGGAGGTGATCTATTGGTGATCATCCTCCACATGAACTGACTATTATATACAATAGGAAGAACAGCTTCGGCAGATGGGTAGCTATGTCGTATACGATCGATATCATCAGCCCAAACAGGCCCTTATAGAACTACATTTGAGAATTGATGAGATAATAAAGAAGAAGATGTCATCAGCGCTGAACCGCGCGAAGTAGTATCATGTCGCAACTTCTTGACGTTCCTCACGCAGTGACTGCGAGACTGTTACTATCTGTGGCATACCGCTGATCGGCTCCATTCGAAGGTATCGGAGGAAGACTTCCTTCCCCTGCTTCTAGATCGACTTCATCAGAAGACTCCAATCGTTTTACTGGAACACCTCTGGTGACCTTCAAGGAATCGGTTGCTTCCGTGCCCTCCGCGACGGTCCCATCAGTTGGGCGCATCTGACCCTAAATAGGAAAGTTTGGAGCATATCCTCCTAGCTCGTGGAACCTCCATTCCATCCAACATTGCGAATCACAACAACAATATCAGAAATTTTCGAGATCGCATGTTCTGATTGTAGAAGATGGGGAAAGCACTTTGATATTCACAAATGCTTGTGATACGATAGCTCTGCTTGGGAGCAGTACTACGATAGTCTTATTACCTCGGCGAAGGTCGGGGCGATCACTAACGTGGTGGTACCGGCCAACTTCCTATATAAAAAGA